AGGATGCTGGGGATGTCCCTCACCTCCCCGGGCTCTGCTCCCAACAGGAGGAGATGGACACCAGCCCGATGGTCTCGTCCCTGCTGAGCGGGCTGGCCAACTACACCAACCTGCCGCAGGGCAGCCGGGAGCACGAGGAGGCCGAGAACAATGATGGCAGCAAGAAGAAGCCAGTGCAGGTGAGGGACACGGGAGGTTCACTGCCCCTTTCTCCTGGCCCGTGCACATGCAGTCCCAGTGCTGTGCTCCGGTGGACTGGCCGTGGGGGAGGCTGAGACCTGTTGCCCCTGCGGGGAGCACAGTATCATCCCAGGTTCCCTGGTTGCTCGGGTCCCTGCAAAGAGCTTTGCAGGAGGAGAGGACCTGTCGCTCCTCTATCCACTGCTGCCTGGCCATGCTGCATGCAGAGCAGACGTCCTGGTCCCGCTCACATCTGCCCCAGCAGCTCCACTGCCCGCCCCAGCATGTGCCATCCCGTTCTGCCAGCCGAGCTGGGCTCCTGAGCTGCTGACAGCTTCACGCTCCCTCTGCAGGCACCACGGATGGGCACCTTCATGGGCGTCTACCTGCCCTGCCTGCAGAACATCTTTGGGGTGATCCTGTTCCTGCGTCTCACCTGGGTGGTGGGAATTGCCGGCATCATGGAGTCCTTCTGCATGGTCTTCCTCTGCTGCTCCTGTGTGAGTGAAGGAGCCGAGGCTTGTCAGCCCTGTCCTGGTGTCTGGGGTCTCCTGCTGGGTTAGGGATGCACCAGCCAGGCTGATCTCTGCCCTCCTTGGGAATGGCCAGGCCTGTAGGGTGCAGAGAGGAGCAACAGAGCTCGTGGCATTAAGAGCTGGTGTTCAGCTGCCCATGCACCTGCACGGCTGAGTGCTCCTGTCCCATTTAACTGCAAGGTGACAACCTCCCGGCTTCACAAAGGAATTAAAAGTAAAACTGTTTTAATTGTGACCCAGATCACACCTGCAGTGTAGGTGGGGCTGTGGTGGGGGTACCCATGCGCTAGGACCTGCATGCTGGTGCTGCAGTTAGCTGTCTTTCAGGAAAAAGGCCCTGCCTGGAGGGTGGGAGAGCCAGACACGAACGGCCTCCTTGGAGCCCCCCAGTCCCTTGGAGGGACTCATGGCCCCTCCGACCATGGCCTGGCCGGGTGCCCCCTGCTGATATGGCACTCCCTGGGGACCCCCACGTCCCACCTGGGCCTTGGGCCCAGCTCTCCCCTCCTGCTCCCCTGCCCTCCTGCTCAGGCGAGGGGGGGGTCTCTGCCCGGTGTCTGATGATGCGTTTCTTCCTGCAGACGATGCTGACAGCCATTTCCATGAGCGCGATCGCCACCAACGGCGTGGTGCCAGGTAGGGCCGGGGCCGTGTCGCTCTGCG